CTAAACCTAACCTAAACTCAATTCACACCTTAGTCCTAAACCTAACCCCCACCCCAAGAAGAGAAACTTTCCTTGTGGGGACCAGTTGTTGGTCCCCATAAGTACCTATGAGTCCTTTCTCTCAAATAAAAGACTGGATAAAAACTGCTAAAATGCAAAAGGACCAAGAGGTGGAATAGAGAAAAAAACAACAACCTGAGTGTTCATATTATTTAGTTACATCACACTGGTTTATTATCACAGTTTCAGTAAATGTTTGAGGAAAGTATCCATTAAAATAGATATAGATTGTTGAGTCTAAATGTTCTTCTCAGTCTATCTAAGATGGGGCTGAAGCTTGAGGACCTTCCCGTGAAACTGCTTTCCCGTCTGAAGTCCCTGGAGCGCTGGGATCTGTCTGGAAACAGACTGCAGGAGTTCCCAAAGTGTTTGGAGCTGCCTGCGCTGCGGTGCCTGGACCTGAGCGACAATCAGATGGAAGACGTCACCACCCTGGGGTCCCTGAGGGGTCTGGAGGAGCTCAAGATGGAAGACAACCTTTATATCACTGTGAGGACCAGGCTTTTATTGCAGAGGACTGTCAACTTAATGGATCCTGTTTGGTTCTTTAATGGAACTCACAGTAAAAAGTGATAAAATATTCAAATATTCATTAGTTACTGCTTTGGGGTGCAAGTTGGAGGAAATCCAAAAAAAAAACAATCCTCTGACTTTGTTTCCAAGCTTCCCATCCAGGAAGCTTTTTCAATTCAAAATGTCAGAAATAGCGTTGAGTTCGAAGTTTTATACAGTAGCCCAACAAAGCCTTGTTTCAGTTTAGTTAACATCCACCACATTTTGGGAAATTCTTGCCTATTTTGCATACCCAAATGGAAAAGCAAATAACTTAGGAACTCTTAGCGGAAATTAAAGGCACACTATGCAACATTTTTCAGTTAATTAATGAGTTCCATAACATTTTGGATGATTAAATGAGTCATTTCAGGTCGAACAAAGGTTTTCTCGGCCGCCCTGGTGGTCTGTAGGGGACCTGGTTTATTTCCAGAAATGCATATGATTTACTAGAAAGCTCAGCCAGTGATATAAAACTAGCTACTAACCACCAGAGTTGCCTTCCATG